GTTTGTGATCGGTAGACTCGCCTTCCTCATATTATGATACTTCCTCTCGGATCCATTCGATCAACACTAAAATTAGGTAACTAAATTCCCTATAGATAGATCATCATGACTCTTTCTTTCAACAAATGTTTCGACACCATGGGACTTTCCAATCAGTCGAAAGTGCTCTCGTTCTAATGCGAGATAGTAAAAGAAAGAAGATAACTTGAAGGAAAGGTGATTGATTGTGTATGGTAGAGGATGATAAATCAAGTTTATTTTCCAATTAATTCGGGCTTTTTGTTCATCCATTAAATGGACACGATCGGCACCGGTAATGATATTGCAAGAGCATATGGCGAATGGATTATGAAGATAAAGCTTAGTGGAATTTAGCACGAATCAAGTAGCTTTTTATGAGCATAAACTACAATTTCTTGGTAAGAGTTTGCATTCCATTCCCAAAATGCAAAAGTCTATCTATGAAAGAGCCAACCATTCAAAATGAAAAGGTTTGGAACGTTGTACTCGAGCTTCCCATCGTCATCTGCACAAGGAGAAGACGAAGTAAAGGTTTAAGGCCGGACGTGGAATCGTAGCATATGGAAACGGGGCTCATCCTCTCAGCCATTAAATTCGGAGGCAGGCAGGCATCGTTACGTACAAGACTTTCTCTAAATGATAGTGTGTGCATCTGCCATGAAAACAATCTCCATGTCCACAACCACTTGGTTGTCCGATCCATGGAGGAGATGTGTCCCCCAAAGAGATCGAGCAGTCGGAGTCAGCAACATTTGTTTTACATACATACAGTCACCAACTCTCCTCCTCCTCTAAAACTCCTCAAACCTATGGCTAGTTGGTCTGTAAGTAGTACCCCATCTCTTGCCCTTCTGCTCCAAGCGTCTGCACACCTGCAATAATATCGTGTAAAGGAAGCACTGTATACTTCCAATGGTGAGAGGCTCTCGGTTTCCATTTTCGTCCTTTCTTTTACTAAATATTAGCTTATTTATTTGGGTGACGGGTTTCATCACATATAGTGTTCGATCATATCTCTGTGTTCACGTATGGGTGCAGGCCGGAGGGACCAGTGTCCCGACAGGGCTCCAGGGATTGATCATGGTCACTGGAAAAACATGTATGTATGTAAAAACATATTAAAGCGAAAAATATCAACTTGATATCCAAATGAAAATATCAACCAGCACAGCATAAAAACAAAATATCAATCACACGAAGATCAAATCTTTTAATGTGAAAAACCTAACGTCAGAAAAATTACGGGACCGTAGTCCACCTCAAACTTTCACTATCAATAGTAATTGATAGGGATAAAAGCTGACTTGACGTAATACCCCGGATTTGACGTAATACACCCCCCCACGTCGGTCGCCCAGTGCGGCGCACTGTCCCAGAAAGAGCATTAAACAACGACGCGACACGCACCCACGCCCACCATACCCGAGCAACCTCCTCGGCTGACCCATCACGGCCAACTGAGGCAGGCAAAGGCACCAGCTGACACCCCCCATACCCTGCAACAGCTCGGCTCTCCACGTAACGCCCACGACGGCGACAGATGCCATCAGAGGTACGGCCCTGCCCTTACAGGATGCCCCATCAGGTAACGTCAAACCTTCCTCATAAATACCCCCCGGCTCCCACCGCCTGAGGGGGACAAAAATTTCAACACTATACTCTCCGAACTGACTGGCTCGTCGGAGGGGTCGGGCCGAGCTACCAACCCGACCTGTGTGCAGGTATTCGCCCGCCGTCAAGGCTCCTCGACGCAGCAGAGTTCCCCAGCCGCGTCCCCCGCATCTGCCTCCTAAGGATCCCGCAGAAGGCCACGTCTGATCCAAGCCATTTGGAGCCCTGATCCAGCCGCGTCGACCCCGAAGTCACTGCAAAAAAGTTACTTACCGTAACAGATTGGCGCTAGAAGGAGGGCCTTCCAAATGTCGGGTGATCAGCAAGTCCGCCTCGACGAACCCTCAAATGCGGAGATCCCCGCCTTAGGGGAACGCCGCGACGAAACCCACGACGAGTGCCCCGCAGCGGTGTCAGAGCGATACTGGCGATTGTTCAATGACCCGGGCTTGTCGCCCCCCGGCAGTGCACCCGCCGACTCACCGCAGGTGTCGCCCGAAGCCTTTCACGACCTCGCCCACCAGGTCCGGGCTCTAACAGGCATGGTGCAGACCATCGTCTCCCAGCGGACCTCTCCGCATGCGGCGCGGTCCTCGCAGCAACAGGAGATCCCTGCCCGGACCCACGCGCCGCTCCCAGAGCTTCCAGGCTCGCCTCGAAACCCCGCAACTCAGCAGGGGAGCAGGGGATACGACGAGCCGCCCCGAGCCCGAGGCTCCGACTGCCGATTCGACGAACGCCCTACGAGCCCAACTGCGCCTCGTCAGTCAAAGGCTCGACGAGGTACAGCGGGAGGTTCGTAAGTCAAAGGGGGAGCTCGGGGCGAACGGACACCAAGGATCTCCGTTCACCCCCGAGATACAGGATCAGGCGATCCCGCCGCACTTCCGCCTCCCCTCCCTGGACGCGTATGACGGCGCAACCGACCCGGCGGACCACGTGGCCGCTTTTCGGGCCCAGATGGCGCTATTCGGTACTTCGGACGCCCTGATGTGCAGGGCA